GCTCTGCTGGAGAAGGAGGGGCAATCTCTTCCAGTACCAGTCAGATCTGATTTGACGGTACATGTAAAAATAATACAATTTAAAAAAAAAAAGAAGAAGTAGTGGACGCTCCTGAGGTCCTTTCACACTCAAGTCCAGTTTACTTTGAAAATCAGCAAATCGAGTCATAGCAGTCACTGGCTGCAGACTGTCACAGAAAGACCACAAGAATTCAGAGTTCCAACTGCAGAAAGGCCCAGAGACTCGGCCCTCAGAGACACACACACACACAGAGGAGACACTTCTCACTCTAGGAAAATTTGACCAGCCACGAGTGAATGGCCAGATGCTGCTGTGCCATCCGATTGCCCAGGACTCATAGCGATGCTGCGACCAACCAATCAGACCCTGGCCCTGGCCGCAGCATCCTGTCCATCTCCCACACGCTCTAGTGCTGGTGTTACAGTCACCGTGTCAGTTCATCTGAGTCTTCCTCTCCTTCTCTACCTTTCCAAGCACAATGTCTTTTTTTTCCAAAGACTGGTCCCTCCTAACAACATGCTCGAAGTATTTCCTGGCTAGCTGACAATAACATTCTTTCTAATCTTTAAGTCTTTTGGTAAGTGTTTCTAGCCAGCAATGACGTAAAGAGAGCAGATGGCAGTTAGCAGACACTGGCAGTGTCTGTGCTGGGCAGCGTCTAAGACAGCCCCCGCCTCCTGGTACGCTGGCCCTGGTGTAATCCCTTCCCTTGGGCACTGGGAAACTTGGGACTTGCTTCTTGGAATACAGCAAAGGTGTGATTACGTAAGATTTATCATCTCACCTGCAAACTCACTCTAATGCCTCTTCTTTTTAAAGGGTCAAGCTAGTAAGACCAGTATGTCACTTTCCTGAGGATACTGCCCAGCTGGCAGACAACAGGAAAGGCAGGCCCTCAGCCCTGGAAGTCCGTGGTGTTAGGTGCCTCTGAGCCCGCGCATAGTGACCTCGTGGAGAGAAGAAAACTCCCTGATTCTGAAGGACCCTTCCCATTTCTGGGTTGCTCACTGTTGCAGCTACTCTGTCAAGGTGTTTGAGGGCCTCTTTTTTTTGCCAAGCAGGATGCCCTTCTCCGAGGACTAGCCCCTCCTGAATAACATGCCATGGTGGTGTTATATGCTCTTGAGTCATTTGCTACTCATAGCGACCCTCTGTACAACAGCCCTGAAACCTGCTCTATCCTGTGTCAACTTTACTACCTCTGACACCTCAGTAACTGTATCAAACCATCTCATCAACAGTCTCCCTTTCTCTGTCCTTCCACCCTTCCAAGCATGACGTCTCTCTCCAAGGAGCAACCTGGGTTTATCCTCTTAAGACGAACCTGGTTGTTCTCCTAGCAGTCCATGACATATTCAATACTCTTCTCCAGCACCACAGCTCAAAGGCATCAATTCTCTATCATCTCTAGTCATTGTCCAACTCTCTGATGCATAGCAAGTAATTGCAAAGACTACGGCCTGGATCAGGCACATCTTAGTGCCCAGACTGATGTCATTGCTCTTCAGTACTCTGGAAAGGTCCCTGACAGTTGACTTTCCCAATGCAATTCATCTCTTGATTTCTTGGCTGCTTGGTACCAAGAATGTTGATTGTGGAGCCAAGCAAATTAAACCTGTTTACAATCTCAATCCCTTCACCATCTATCTTCATACTGCCAATTGGCCCAGTGGTGAGAATCTTTGTCTTCTTGATATTGAGCTTCAATCCATATTAAAGGCTGCAGTCCTTGACCTTCTGCAACAAGCACTTCAGGTCCTACTCGGTTTCAGCAAGCAGGACTGAGTCATCTGCATAATGTAGGTTGTTCATGCGTCTACCTCCAATCCTGATGCCACATTCCTCCTCATAGAGCCCAGCCTCCTGGATGACCTGTTCTGCATATAGATTGAAAAGGTATGGAGGCAGAATACATCCCGAGCATACACCCTTCCCGATTTTGAACCATGCAGTGTCTCCTTTGTGTATGAGACCAAATTTCACCTTGCTTCTAATGAGCATCCTGACTGTACGTCCTCAAAGACAGATTTGCATGTTCTTCTGGAAATCCATAGTATATTCAATATTCTCCACCAACAAATACATTTCAAAGGCTTTCACTCTCCCTTCAGCTTTCCATAGTCATGTTCCCAATTTCACTTGGATGTGAAGCAACTGAAAAGTACTATGTCTTGAGTCAGGAACTCCTTAGTTCCCTAAGTTATAGCCTTGCTCTTTAGCACTTTAAAGAGGCCATTTTCAACAGATCTGCCTGTCGTAATTCATTTGATTCACTGCCTGCTACTTCCTTGGGTGTTGATGGTGAATTCATGTAACATTAAATCCTTGACAAGTTCAAACTCGTCTTCATTTATCATGATGCTTTTTATTGGTCCACTTATGAGTATTTTGGTTTTGTGTGTTCACCTCTGCTCTGGGCCAGGTCTATGTTCTGGTTTCCCATCGTCGTGGGCAGAGGACCAAGGTGGCAGGAGGAAGGTGAGTACTCAAGAGACCTTCAAGCTGTACTGAGGTAATAGCCTGAGGTTGCTGGGATGCTGAACCGTGTGCCAGTGGGGTGTAAAATGCCATTATAGTTACCCATGGTGGATAATATTTGGTGGAGCTTCCAGTTCAAGACAGGTTTGGAAGCAGGAGTGGCATCCACTTCATAAACAGCCTGCCTCTGAAAACTATGAACTTTGATAAATGCCATAAGTTATAGAAAGGCTTCCAGCCTTTTGGTCATAGGGTCGCTATGAATCATGCTCGACTCGACAGCAATCAACAAGTGTTGAGGTACAGCCATGCTGAAGTTTATTATGCAATAAAACACAGGTAGACATCTTTCTGGTGTTCTCTGCTGTCAATCAAGATCCATCTGCTGTAAGCAGTGGCATCCCTTGTACCATATCCTCTTCTGAATCCAGCTTGAATGATGGGCAGTTCCCTGCTGATACATTCCTCCAGCCATTATTTATAGTCAACTTACATGTACTATTGATATTGTTCTATAATTTCCACATTCTGCTGGATCTTCGCTCTTCTGAACAGTACAAATATAGATCTCTTCTAGTCAGTGGGCCTGTCTTCCAAATTCCTTGGCAAAGACCCATCCCAAGTTGCATCCATTTGTTGAAACATCTCGACTGGTATTCTGGGAATTCCTAGAGCCGTGATTTTTACCAGGACTTTCTCATACATCACCTACTGAAAGGGCTGAGCAATGACCAATTCTTTCTGGTACCATGACTATGCATTCCTCCCATCCTCTTCTGATACCAAGTCAGCTAATGTTGTGCCACCAGAATACCTCAGGCTTGCAACTAGGCTTGAATTTGCCCTTCAGCTCTTTGTGCTTGAAATGCCAAACACATTCCCTAACTTTAGATCTTTGCACTTCTCATTGTAATCCTTTGTCTGCATTGTAATGCTTGAGCTGCCCTGTGAAATCTATTCCGCTCTCCATCATTTCTTCTATTCACTATTGTTCTCTACTTTCTAGAGCAAGTCTCAGCGTCTCCTCCAACATCAATTTTGGTCTTTCTCCCCCTTTCTAATGACTTTTCCTTTTTTTTTTCCTTTGTTGTGTACCATCGAATTGGGTCCAACTGGCACAGGAGGAGATTGTCCCTCCTTCTCCAGCAGTGCATCTGGTGGATTTGAACCACACGCCTTCAGGATTGTAGCACAGCTTCTTGCCATTATCTGATGACTTTCTGCTCTCTTCACAGATGATGTCTTCATGTCATCCTACAATACAGCTAGCTGGTTGGTCATTCTATACATCCAATCTCTTCTTGGGATGATCTTCAAATCCAGCTGGCCTAGGTCAAAGGGCATGTTTTGACTCCCACAGGTTTTTTCCCCAAGCACGACAACTCCTTCTCTAAAACTGGACTCCGTGAGGGTCTCAGGGGCTGGCTTTTCAGAAGCAGGCTGTCATTGCTCTCTTCCATCCTTAGGTGGACTCAAACTTCCAGCCTCTTGGTCAGTAGCTGTGCACATGAACCATCTGCACCACAAGAGAACTCCATTCCTCCTCCTCACCCCCTCTATCCACAGGCAGCTTCCAGAATGGAGGTTATTTTTCAGTGACGTCCACTTGCCCTGCAAAATTGCTATTCCTGAAGTTGTCACAGCTTACAGAGCTGGTCTTGGAATTTAGGGCTGATGGTTCAGACACTTGGGAATTTTATATTGGAGACCACGATTGTCTCTGCTATGGAATGCCCCTCAGGTGGTAGATGGCTCTCCTTTTTCATTCCAACAGACATGGTACAGGGTGCACACAATTCACATCAGTACAGATGTGAGTTGCAGAATACAGCTCTGCACCCTTACCCTGAGACCCAACTCCACAGAGGTCTGCATTCATAAGCAACAAGCACAGATGCCCACTGCCTAGAGGAGTTCTGCAAGTCTGTGAGGCTACTGCAAAGGTGGGTGCAGGAGAAAGGAGATGTGCTCATCCTATTCAACCTAGGAGACATCGCAGCACAATGAATTAAGTATTGGGCTGCTGGGAGGTCAGTGGTTCAAGCCCATCTGCTACGACGAATCAGAATGGACTCAAGAGCAGTTGGTTTGGGTGATGTTCAACTTAGTCCTGTGGGAACGGGAGTGGCTCTGAAAAGGGCTAATGGTTTTGCCGTTCTTCAGCATTTTTGTTCTATCAATATCTCCATTTCCTCTCTAATGAAGAAGGCTGGTCTCTCATCAATCCTCACTCCAGGATTCCTCAATTCCAACTATTTCCCTCCAATGAAGACAAGTAAAGGTCAAAAACACAGTAACCACCACCTTCCTTCATGGTGAGGAGGCATGGAAAATGTTGGAATCCACGGTAAGGTGGGATGGAAAAAGCTGTGATCTTACCTATGTACATACATACATAAGAATGTGCATGTGTGAGATACTGTCCTGAGCCATTTACAATTTTTTTTTCAATCCCCAAGGCGTTTTATTGTGGAAACTGGGATGAGGCAGAGGGGCTGTGCCTAGAAGAAGGTGTTGGGCCGCTTGGTGGTGAACCGTGGCTCGTGCTGGCGACGCAGGACCCGGTGGGGCAGTGGGAACTTGATCTTGGAGTCATGGAACTGCTTGACTGCAGGTCGGCGGCACTTGTTGGCTGCGATCTCCTCGACCTTCATGATCTGGATAGAGTGGGCCCTGGCACGATGCCAAGCGCCCATGTCGCGGTCTGCAGGGAAAGCAAGCACAATCCTCCTACCATATACTGTGTAGTCCCAAGTGACCCCACAAGGTCAAAGCACTGGCCACTAGGAGTGTAGAACTTCCTTATTCACTTCGAGGGGCACAGCACAGCCCCTAAAAGGCGACAAAGTCCACATGCTATATGCACCGCCATTTACAATTTTAACCAGTTAGTCTCAACGTTATCAAAGCAACTCTACCACCCTCTAATTATATGTCCTCAGTTACATTTTTTCTTTTCTTTCCTCATCTGTAAAGTGGTGTCTATCTAGTTATGAGACAAGATGGTATACTTATTTCACGAAAACCACAGAATGCATTGAATGTGACATCATTGTTCTAAAAATGAAATAGGGAGCTATCAGCTTCCACAAAAAGCTGTTGTTGTTGCCGGGTGCTGCCAAGTCAGAACCAACCCACAGTTGACCCCACTGGGTTTCCAGAAAATGTAGGTCTCATGGGATGAGATTGCACATCTTCCATGGAGTGGCTGGTAGATTCGAACCACACGCCTTTGGGTTGACAGCACAACTCCTTACCGCTAGGCCACCAGAGCTCACCATGGATTTAGTTGGGTATTTGGAAATTGACACTTGCATTTAGTTGACACTTAAAAATCCCACATATCTAACATCAGTCCTTCTAGGCAATTGACAGCTTTGGAAACCCATCAGCGCTCAACTCAATGGCAGTGAGGAAGAGAAGGCTATTTTCCTTGGGAAGGGCAGTCGTCATTTGTTACTCAAAACTATGAAAACAGATGGAGATGCAGATAGGCGAGGTGCCAGAGAAGCTATGGATAGACGGGAACTCCAAAGAGTGGAAGGAAGCTTAGCGTGGGGAAGGGGTGAGGGAGGAGAAAGGTTAACGCTCTGCCACTAATCCTTCAAGTCATGAACTTAAAGATAAAATGTTCTGCAAATTTTTAATAAGACTATTCAAAGAATAATTTGAGTTTTGAATTATCTCAAAAATCATTTTATAAAGAGACTCCAAAACACTCAAGATCCTTTTTTTTTTTTGTCTCTAGAAGATAGCTCTGGGCCTTTTCACTTTTCATACTTGGGGAGGCTGAAACAGAGAAGAAAGTCCACTGTAAATGGCTGAGAACAAAGCGCAAAGCCCACAAAAGAAACACAGCTAATACACAATAACAGAAACCAGCTAGCTTATCAAACATGGTTCAACCTCAGGGGTTTCATCTACTCATGAAAATGCCATTTTAATGTCGCTCATTGTTGGCAAGGATGTGACATTATCAATACACTTGCATAACTTTTGGTATTCTAAATTGGCACCACATACTAAGTCACGAAGTGTACCTACCTGTGACTCAGCAGTCCTGGATCTGAGAATTTATCCTGGAAAAAAAAAATACAACAAAATGCAGAAAGAGCTAAACCTGTCAGGTCATTTTCATTTGCATAAGAACTTAGGTTCAAACACTTATGAGAACACCTTAACAATTAGCATGATGTTCTATTTGCTCAATCATTAAGATTTGTCATAAAATCTTTTACCAAAAAAAAAAAAAAAAAGATTTGTTATAAAATCTATATTGTGCTTTCTAAATGTGTCAATGATAGGATTTTTTTTTAAAAAAAAAACAGGACATAGTGTTATGTTCTAGATCTCAACTCTCATATTTAAAAAATTGGAAGCATTATAGTATCTATTAGTGGTTCTGCTGTGATCCTAAACCCCTTTTAAACCATATAAAACTATTATTGTAGACTAAGTATGAGGATTCAAGGGAAGAGAGAGGGTGGAAATAGAGTGGGGTGGGTGGACTAAAGCAAACAGTAGGATCTTTTGTGAAAACCAATGTATTCAAACTTTGTAAATAAATCAGCATAGTAGATCATGATCTTCTAACTCAAAATGTCCCAGCCCAGGCCATCTCATTTCGCCAATACCTAGTATGCCAATATTTATGTGTTCCGCTTCCTTCTTAATATCCAATTTTCCTACATTCATAGTTCTTACATTCCATGTTCCAATCACTAGTGTCTGCTTACAGCTGTTCCTATTTGTTCCCATACTTGAGGGCTCAGCCCCATTAGCTGTATCTGCTAGTCTAAGTGTGCTCTGTTGTACACAGGGTTTTCAAAGGCCTGCTATTTCAGAAGTGGATGGCCAATTCTTCTTCCTAGTCTTAACTAGATTGCTCAGACTTATAACATTTTCTGACAGACAAGAATTTGACAGAGAAGAGCAGATTAAAGATATTTTACAGTGGTAGGAAAAACCAATAGATTCCGTGTTGTCCCACCCTTGCCAGGTGGTGTGTTTTGAACTGCCCCTTGCCCTTTTCACCAGCATTTACATCTACTCCTACCTACGCCATTCGACATCAATCTTCCCTATCCAGCCCTTCATGTGATGGCCTATCTGTCAATCTTTCTGGCTTCTGTGATTCCTAATGCCTCAAGCAGCTGCCAGGTTAGTCCTCTAAGAGCAGTATCTCTTGACTTCAGGAGTTGTGAACTTCTGCTCCAGGACTGACTTCTTGTGCCTTAGGGCATCTTCACCTCCATCAAAAGAGCTGAACTTGCTTAGCATTTAAGCTGAAGGAACTGAAGAACAAATTCAAACCTCGAGCTGCAATACTTAAGGATGCTTTGGGCAGAATATTAAATGATGTGGGAAGCATTAAAAGAAGATAGAGTACAAAGAGTCACTGTACCAAAAGGAATTGGTGGACACAGAAAAATTTCATGAAACAACATATGAGAAAGAGCCCATGGTGATGATGGAGGACGTTCATGTTGATCTGAAAGAACTGGCAAAAAACAAGGATCCAGGAATTGATGGCAAACCGATTGACATATTTCAACAAAGAGATGGTGCCCTGGATGTGCTCACCAAGTTGTGCCAAGAAATCTGGAGGACAATCACCTGGCCTACTCACTGGAAGAGATCTATAATTGTTTCATTCCAAAGAAAGGAGATCCAACAGAGTGTGGACATTACCAAACAATATCATTGATACCGCATGCAGGCAAGATTCTGCTGAAGATCATCCAAAAATGACTGGAAAAGCACATCAAAAGAGAACTGCCTCAAGTGCAGACTGGATTTAGAAGAGGCCGTGACACTAGGGATATTATAGCTAATTTCAGATGGATCTTGGCTGAAAGCACAGAGTACCAGAGGAATGTCAGTCTGTGTTTGACTATTCAAAGTCATTTGACTGTGTGGATCACAGCAAACCGTGGCTGACTCTGAAAAGAATGGGACTCCCAGAACACTTGATTGTGCTTATGCGAAATTTATGCTTGGACCAGGAGGCAATCATCAGAACAGAGCAAGGGAACACTGCTTGGTTCAACATTGGGAAGCTGTGCATCAAGGATGTGTCCTATCTCCGTATCTTTCAATCTATACGTGGAATAGATTATCCAGGAGGCTGGGCTCTATGAGGAGAAGTGTGGTATCAGGATTGGAGGTAGACTCATCAACAATCTGTGTTAAGCAGATGACACAACCCTGCTTGCTGAAACTGAGGAGGACCTGAAGCGCTTGCTGCAGAAGGTCAAGGACTGCAGTCTTCAATATGCATTGAAGCTCAATATCAAGAAAACAAAGGTTCTCACCACTGGGCCCATTGGCAGCATAATGATAGATGGTAGAGATTGAGATTGTTGACAGTTTGCTTGGCTCTACAATCAACACTCTTTGTATCAGCAGCCAGGAAATTAAAAGATGAATTACACTAGGAAAGTCTGCTGTCAGAGACCTCTCCAAGGTACTGAGGAGCAATGATGTCAGTCTGGAGACTAAGGTGTGCCTGATACAGACCATGGTATTTGCAATCACTTGTTATGCATCAGAGAGCTAGACAATGACTAGGGATGATAGAAGGAGAGTTGATGCCTTTGAGCTTTGGTGCTGGAGAAGAGTACTGAATGTACCATGGACTGCTAGGAAAAGAAACAAGTTCATCCTAGAGAGGGTGAAGCCAGGCTACTCCTTGGAGGCAAGAATTCTGAAGCTCCGTCTGACATACTTTGGACATTTTGCCAAGGAGGACCAGTCCTTGGAGAGGGACGTCATGCTTGGGAGCATGGAGGGACAGCGCAGGAGAGTAAGACCCACAATGAGATTGATTGATTCTGTCACTGGTGTGTTGGAGGCAAGAGATAGAGCAGGGTTAAGGGCTGTTGTACATAGGGTTGCAATGGGTCGCAAGCAACTTGATGGCACATAACAAAAACAAATCATAATTTTTTTAAAAATTTTAAATGACCATTTTGAGTCTCCTCAACTCTCTGAAATGTTAGAGAAGAAAAAATATGAAGTCCATGACTGAAAAGAAAAACTCAAATCATGGTCAGACAGTTCAGATAGAACTCATGAAGTGAATCCATAGGGACAATAAGACATGACAATTAAACATTTTCGTTTCATTTTAAAATTTTACTTGCTTTCTGGTCTACTCTCACATTGTAAAAATGAGTTTTTATAAGAAAAAGAAGCCAAATCAACTGCCTCTGACTTGGTTCCAACTCATAGGACCTCTGCTCTGGCTTCTAGGCTGGAAACCTTTATAGCAGGAAACCGTCTTTCTCCTGCAGAGGGCCAAGCGGATTCGAACTACTCACCTTTTGATTGGCAACTTGATGTTTTATGCACTATGCCACTAGAGAATACTGGTTCAACATTCAACTGCTAAGTGAAAGGTCTGCGGTTTGAAGTCACCAGCAGCTCCACAAAAGGGAGATGTGACAGTCCACTTCCATAAAGACAACAATTTGGAAGGCCTGGTGGTAAGAAGCTGTGCTGCTATCCCAAAGGCAAGCAGTTCAAATCCACTAGCTGCTCTTTGGGAGAAGAATGGGCTGTCTCCTGTGCAATTTACTGCCTCTGCAAACCCATTGGAGGATCCGCTACACCAACAGCAACAGTCCATTCCACATTGTGCTAAGAATCAGTTCAA